CCTGTAGGAGGACACGCCCGACCTAAGGCAATGGTTGGGGAGGCCATGCTAGTTGTCGGGGATTCGTAGGGGGGTAGCCATAGGCGTGGGTCAGGAAACGAACCAGCATGGGCGGTCACAGTCTCTTCTCCCGACGGGGGTGCATTTGGAGCGATTTCCTTTAACTGCCCCTACCCATCTTTACGCCCCCCCCCAAAACTTTTGGGCGGCAAGGTTGGGACTAGGGTTGGGGAGGCAGGGTCGGGAAGGCCACGGGCAGCTCCGAACTGCAGAGGTTTTGGAAGACTTTGAGGGCAGATTTGGGGGCATACCTGCTGTGGCACTGTCGGGGAGGTTTCGGGTAGCGTCGAACTGCAGATGGGCCAAACAAAGTGAACGGGTGAAGTTTGATCGGGTCAGAGGGAGGTGAAGTGTTTGGGGTCTCTTCCGGGGTGAGCCTGGGCCCAACGTCCTATTGGTCTGCGCGACCAGGGGAAAGGGGCTTGGGTGTGACGCATCGGTATGAGAGCGCGGATCGGTTAGGTGGCATCTGCGAGGGGGGCCAGAGGGTGTTGGATCCCTTAAGTCTGTCCTGAGCCTTTTGGGCCGTCTCGCGGCGCTCTTGGGCGGGGCCGTCGGTGACCTTGTGGGCCCCCCCAGGCGACCTCCTGAGGTCACTCAGCTTGCGTCACGTGGCGGTGGTGGTGGATTCCTCGTTCCACTCGGCGTTGTGGTCGCCCTTATTAAGCGTTGCTGCCTTCGGCTGGCCTCGGGTCCCAAAGTTGTCTCCCTCTTCCGACTCTCTGTGGTCTCGGGATGTGAGAGAATGCGATAGCAGCAGCAACAATGCGTCGAACCATTGTTTCGGATGAGCGTCTGGCCCATCACATCCTTGTACGTGTATGCGCCACGCACTGATTCCCTGCGCGGTGGACTCACAACTGGAATGTTTTTTTTTCTGCTGTAACCATGTGTTTTCATGTTTTAAATGTTTGGCCCGTCCCCAAGCCTGGAGCGGTGAGGGGAAGTCTGAGTTGCGACCCCATGGATGGATTGAACAGACTTTCAACAAACAACACATCACGAAGTGAAGCTCTCTCTGGGGATTCCTGAGGTAGACATCCCAGCGGTGCGGCCGCTACAGTGCGTTTATATGTGTGCATATGTCGCTGTTCTTCCACAGCGCCACGGGCATGCCGTTTCAGAAATGGGCGACGCTCTCCTGACTCGCATTTGCTTCAAAGTCGTGAGCTGTGTTGTTCATCGTGATCTTGATGGCCTGCACGGACGCATCATTGCCGTTCCCCAGATGTTGTCCAAGCCTCAGGCCACAGGGTCTGGGCCCTCCTTTCCTTTCCAGCTACCCCCTGGTGACCTCCCCCTCTGGGCTTCACCTGGCCTTCCAGTTAAGCCAGCAGAGTGGCCCATAAGACCCTGATCCGTCGATCAGGCTGCGTTCACCAATCGCGGTCTGCCGATCCACAAAACCATAATGGGGGACCGCCGCGGTCGGCCATATAGCCCACTGGCGGAGCAGGCCACAATCTGGCAAGGATCTGGCCGGCTGTCCCAACAGCAGGATCGGAAGGCCCGCTTGGTTGGGACGGGCGCTTCCAAGAAGCCTGGCATCGCTCGGACGTGTGCATTTTGTTCGGCGAGAACAATCGAGGACCATCGAGGACCATCGAGCAAACAAAAACACACACGAGACCGACAAATGCACAAGGAATGGACGTCCGAGCGACGGCAAGAAAGCGTGGAGAGTCTTTTTTTTCCCCTGGCCACGAGGAGCCCAGTGGTAAGGGAGAGAGGCGGGCGTCTCGATTGTTTCAGTGCGGGGCTCCGTTCCCGAGTGCCGGCTGCTCGTCCCGAGCCGTTCTTTGACGGCCGTTGGGCCTGGCGAGGGCCACCAGAGGCCGACAAAAAGACGAGCATCTCCATGATGTCTTCACGACGCCAAGCTTCTGGGGAGGAAGAGGTAGAGAGAGAGAGAGAGCGCGAGAGAGAGAAAGAGAGAGAGAAACAAACATGAACATGAAAAATGTCTATACAAATAAAGATATAGATAATGAGAGAGCTTGAGAGAAACAAATAAGATAAAAGGGTCGCGCCGCGGGATTCAATAGCAGCTCACTGGAGCCATATATGTCCTCGAAATTCCGTCTCCAGCTTAGAGTGCGTTCGCGTGCGTTCGCGCGCGCTCGCGCCTGATACTCGACGAGACATCGCCGATGCTGCATCGAGCAGCGCCGACTGAGCCTCCAGTCACATCCATTCGTGTCGGTTGGCTTCTGCTCGCAGGGGCCCGCAAGACGTCATGGGAGGCCCCTGGGCCCCCACGAGCTGCCACAGAAGCGGGCGCGCCGCGCCGCGGCGGCGCTGCCAGGCGCTGCTCGCCCGCGGGGCCGCCCTGCACCCGGCGGCCCACGACGCGGACCGGAGCAGCGCGCTGCACGTGGCCTGCGAGAGAGGCGCGCGTGCCGGCCCGCGCTTGGGCTCACGCCTTTCTGTTTTGGGGGGGCTACGGCCGCGGGCCCCCTTTGCCTCCTCCTCCTCCTCCTCCTCCTCCTCCTCCTCCTCCTCCTCCTCCTCCTCCTCCCCCTCGTTCTCCTCCTCCTCCTCCTCCTCCTCAGGCCGTTCGTCAGAGCCCCGAATCATCAGGGGTAACTCGGGTCAGGGCTAACTCGGGTTCGTTTTTTTCGGGATTCCGAACCCGACTTGCCCCGGACCCGAGTTCCCCCGGATACTTCGGGCGTCCAGGGCCCCGCATCATCAGGGGTAACTCGGGTCAGGGATAACTCGGGTTCCTTTTTGGGGAATCCAAACCCGAGTTACCCCAGACCCGAGTTACCCTGGATAACTCGGGCGCCCAAGATCGATGCTCCTCAGGCCGTTCGTCAGCACGCTTTGCGTGCGTGTTGCCCCGCCCATTCGCTACGACAGTGCCCCCCTTGGCATCGCTCGGACGTTTTTTTTTTTTTTTTTTTTTTTTTTGTTTTTTTTTTTTGTTTTTTTTTTTTTTCTCGGCGAGGACCATGGAGGAGCATCCTTGATCATTTGGCGAAAAAGCCACGCACGAAACCCAAAACAGCACAGGGAATGGACGTCCGAGCGATGGCCAGTTCCGCCGACGACCGCTGCCCAGCCGCCGAAGAAAAATAGGTGTTGCCGCGTCCGGCTCCGCCGATGGCGCGCCGCCCGTTACGACCCTCATTGCACCGCCTACGTGGTAGTGATGGGCCTCGGCGTACAATCGGGGCCCTGAAGAAGGAAGCCTTTTCGTTGGGGAGGGGCTCTGTGTTCCTTGATTGATTTCTAGTTTGCCTTGGGTTTTCCTGAGGTTTTCCATAGGGAAATCGATGTTTAACTTACCGGAGAAAGGGGCCTCGTTCCTGATTTAGGGTTCCTTAGGTCAGCGCCCCGACTGTACAAGCACACGCTGGCGTTGACACACGTTCCGGGGATCGTCGAAAGGACAACCCTGGGCGCAGGAGTGGCTCTGGGTCTCGGTCCGCGCATTGGACCCGGGTCGGGGAGCTTCTTCGTGGCCGCGGCTCTAGGCGGTCCGGATGGACTTCTTGGATCGGCGCTGGTCCTTCCTGGCGGCGCCTTTGGTGCCGCCCCTGGCGCGCTCCGCGCGCCAGGGAGCGGGGCGGGGGGTCAGCGCCGATCGAGTAAGTCCGCGCTGAGGCAGCTGTTATACGCAGTGGCAACGGCTTGAGGGGTAGAAGCTCTGTTCAAAACGACAGTCTTGTGACTAAGACCCCCCCCCGCCCTGTGTTTCGGGGCCGCGAGGTCGATCCCAAATTGCTTCAGAGCATTCCATATTGGCTTAGTGCCTCTGCGCTCATGCGCAGGATCGAAGTGACAGGGCCGCAGCATTCAAAATGTCTGATCTGAGTGGCGCTAGTTATCCGAATGTGTCAAAGCAGTAGTCCTGACACTCCTTTTTCTTCGATGGCCCTTGAGAGACGCAGCGAGAAACATGGGGAAATATCTGAAACCATCCAAGTGGCCACCCCCAGCCCCAGCACATCCGTCAACACGTAGGTTTAAGTTTTATTTGCGAAGCAGAGCTTCCCAGCCACAGCAGCTGCGAACGTAGGCCCGTTCGGATCATCAGGGCCATCCGAGCTCGGGATCGCTGAGCTTGACAATGCCTGGCTCCGCCTCAAAGTTCTGGAAGTCCGACGTCATGCCGAAGAAGCGTGCCCCAGATGGTTTGCGCAAGCTATCCCAGATGGTGCCCGCTCGTGTAGCTGGGAAGGACACCACCGATAACAACAAGAGAGCCAGGAATGTCGCTGCCATCGAACGCACCATCAACAATTGCATGATGAAGCCGTACACGGCCACTGACATTTGGGCGAGCATCGAGGCAAACATAGCGTCCGATGCAGACCCGCCTCAGGATGCCGACTCGTCTTCTCCTTGTTCCAAGGGCTCCGAGGGGATTACGGCTGCGAGCTTCGGCCAAGTGGACAACAATATATACGTCACAGTCTACGTAACGCTGGGCATCGGCACCACCGAGCAGGATGTGGACGACATCGAAGACCAAGACACGCACGCTCGCAAGAACATGGTAGAACAACACTTCCAGCTGGACCCGAAAGATCACATCCCCGACCGTGCTCGCTTCGTCCCCGTCTTCATCGAGGCGTTGAGGCTGCGCTACGTGCAGGTCGGCCGCCGCGCTGGCAAGTGGAAGACCGATAACGTCGACGACGATGGCAGCATCGATTATTTTATTTTAACACCGGTCTGGGAGGACGGGCTCGTGGCCAAGATCGTTTACATTGCGGGTGAGACCGCCGTGGTGCCGCCGTAGGAAAATATCGACCATCGCTTCAGGCTGGTGGACCCCACGAGCGACAAGACCTGCCACTTCAAGTTCGAGAAAACAATGCTCCTTCTCTGTGATTGCTTCAATGGGGACGAGGGCCCCGACAAATTCACGCTGTGCGATCGTGCTGAGATGTCCCGCGAGCTTGCCGAGACAGCCGCCGCTCGCATCAACGCGGCAGCCCGGGCGCACGGGAGTCTCGTGGAGGTGCGCGCGGTTCCGCCCGACAAGAGGACCAACAGGATCCGCGACGAGGCCTTGACAAAGGCCCGCTCGGAAGCCGCGTCCCAGCCGAGAGTGAGGAGCAAGACGTCGTGGATTTTCTCACCGCAGCTTGCGCTGATGGACATCCAGTCCTCCACTGATGCGAGCTCCTCCAGCGCCCCCGTCGTGAGCTCGGTTGCGGCGAGCCCCTCCCATAGAAGGAAGGGCGCTGTCGCGCCACAGAAGGAGGCGAGCAGGCGCGCTCGCCGCGAGGCCGTGGCGGACGCTGACTTAAAGCGCGCCGTGGTTTCGCCATAGGGCATTTCTTTTTGTTTGCAAGCGCTGCGGGTCTATCGCAGCGAGCTCGGGATGCGGGAGATGGAGCATGGGGGGCGAGGGGCAGGGGCGTCGGCCGAGGAAAGGGGGGGGGGGGGGGCGCTCGCCCAGACCGCAAGGTGCAATCGCATTCGGCAGGCTCCAGCGCGAGCTGCCACTTAGCAGGTGGGGGGCTCAATCTTTGGACTGGCGATGCCTCGTGCGGCGCGGCCGCGCGACCTGACGGGTAAGCCCTTAGAGGGGAGGCGCGGTGGGAAGTGTGGTCAGTCCTCGTCGGCCATTCCCATTGCCGTAGTCGCGTTAGGATCCCTGTGGGCCCACTGCGGCCTGTGCGCCCCATGGCGCATAGGAGCCCCGTGAGGCCCGCGGGGCCCATGGGGCCAATGGGCCCATGAGCCCAGCCAGCCCCATAAGCCATGTCAGCCCTATGAGGCCCTGCGTGGCCGATGAGTCACATGAAGCCCTAGGAGGCCCACGAGCCCAATGGGCCCGACGCGGCCCATGAGCCCTATAAGCACTGTGAGCCCTATCGGCCCTATGAGGCCCCTTCGCCCCACGGGCCCAAGGGGCCCCACGTCGCCAAGGGGCCCCATGGGGCCCGTGGGCCCTGCGAGGCCTACGAGGCCCATGGGCCCTGTTGACCCTATGAGGCTTTTAAGCCTTATGAGGCCCATGGGCCCGATGAGGCCGACGCGCCCAGCGAGGCGCATGAGCCCGCATGGCCCGCGAAGCAAACGGGGGCCCATGGCGCCCAAGGGGCCCTCAGTCACTCAAGGAGTCGGGCGACTGCGTTGCCCAGCTTGGGACCCCTTGCGCTTCGCCCTCTTCCGCAGCTCTGGCTCCCGCAGCTCCTTGGCGGTAGCCTTCGTGAGATCCTTCCGACTGTTAGTCGGTCTTGGAGGCCGCGTGGCAGGTGCAGTCGGCAGCGGCGCCGATGATGTTCTAGTCCTTGTGGGGCGATTCTCCAATGATGGCCGGGCTGCCGTCGACGATGCGATCGCGCGCCTCGGTGGCGATAAGGTTGCAACGCTGGGAGGTCGCGACTTCGGGCGGCTGGCCAGTCCGACCGCCATCGGGCAGTAGTTCGCCGCCACTTCGCTAGCTGGTCCAGCGCCCGAAGATCCAGACCACCCCGCAGGCGGCGGGGATCCTCCACATCTTGGCTTGGGAGGGGCCTCGATGCACGTGGACTCGCCCGACCTTTGCGTGGGCCACCTGGCGCTGGCGCCCCCCGCCCAGGGCGCGGCGGCCTCGGATTCGACGCCGGCGTAGTTTTTGGAGACCCAGACGGCGGCGACCACGTTGGCGGCACGGCGACGCCCATCATCCAGAGCGACGCCGGGCCCGACGCCGCGGCCGCGGCGACCGAGAAGCTGGTCAACGCCAAGCGCGCCGAGGAGATCAGGCTGTCCTACGATTACCAATTGGGGCGCGACTGCGTTGGGAATGCAATCGCCCGTGAGGTCGGGCATTTTTCGCAGTCCGAGTACGATAAAGAAACCATAGTGCACGGCGGCTTGGTCATTGCAATATCTCAGGTTGGCGCTGGTCATCCCGTGCGCATTGATCTTTTTGAGGTCTTCACGTTTGACGCGCGGTCAGATGCGCCCAAGTCCATTGGCGCTGTTCCTGGGACAAGACAAGACGCACTTGTTCGCTCGCTGAAGAATGCGAGGGGCTCATTTCCTACGTGGGGCCTGAAGGTCAAGCACGGCAGCGTCAATGTGCATGATGAAATTGCAGTCTCTAAGCTTCTGTTGCCTCGGGAGGGATGCTGCGTGTATTGGAGCGCGCCACCTATCTGCGATGAATTCGGTTTCAAGCGTGGCCGGGATGACCAGACGGCTCAGAATAAGAAACATACATACATCAGCAAGCGCTGGAGCGTTTGGACCGCAAGTATTTCGCCACTTGGTCTGACTGGGTTTCTCAATGTAAAAGTCTGGGGCGAAGCAGAAGATGTCGACCAGCCCCGCGACGACAGCGCCAGAGCTCTCACGTTCAAGTCTGCGTCCTCTCTGTGTTTGATCGCGTGGGTTGGCCGCATGGGCAGAGCCAACCAGCCAACCGCATGGGCAGAGCCAACCAGGCTTGTTTCGCACGTGTTGCCTCGCCCTGGCGGTTGCACGTTCATT